TTAATCCAAAAACTGACGTTATTTTTATTAAAATCGCCCCATTTTCCAGGATTGGTTGAACGACACTCCTTTTCAATAGTAGATTAATTTCTGAAGTAAGAGGATCAGATCTAACTATGTGATGCTCAAGATCATTAAACATCTATCATTCTGAGGGTTTGACTCATTTTGATGAGCAGGATAATCACTGCTGTCGAAATGATCAATTTTATATGTTTGTGATTGAACCTGAAAACACTATTATAAGTATTCATTTTAAAATGCTGAGAATTTGATGAAATATACAATAAGTAATAATTAATTTCTTACAATTTCATTACTAATAGTTTCAATTTTTTCACTGGGTGATAGAGATGGGGGAACAGATCCGTGGAAAAATGAAGTTAATTTCGGAATTTTCGCTAAATCAGCAGCATAATTGATTTTTTCCCCTCCGCTAGTTTAATTTTGTTTGACCCAATTAGGTAAAATTGTGGCATGGTTAATTTATGATAATGCATAAAAACAACTGTTAACTTTTATATTGAATTAAAAATTGAAAATGTTCCAATAAAATCTGACTTAATCAGAAAATTAGATACAAAAGATCATCAGTTATATAAGTTTATTTGTGTAAACATGAAAAATGAAACTAACACTTCCCTTCTTTAAAGAACTTGCAATGGATTCAGAGCCGTGGCTAGGCACCCCCAAACCCCCCAATTGGGGGGGGGCCCAGTATTTTTAGGGGCCCTTTTTAAAAGTTAAAATATCTTTTAACTTTAAAAGGGTTTAAGTGAAGTAAAAAGATTTGCATTTTAACCATTATATTAACTAAGTTATGCATGCTAAAAAGTACTAAAAAGCAAAAGTCATTTTTACACAAAAACAATTTACACTCCGAGTTCTTTTGTTTTGTTAGAAGTTTTTTGAGAAACCACTATAGCGGTTTGTCTGATGTTATTTTAGCGGTTTGTCTGATGTTATTTAGCGGTTTGTTTGATGTTACTAGCGCGCTAATGAGAAACCATTAAACAGCGTTTCGTGGGGAAATATATTTTCAAGTATGTCGCTTATTTTATGATTACAAGCGAATTCATTATTTTTAATTAGGTTATTTATTGATTAACTATAATTTGCTGGTAATTCAACTGTTTACCAATTCACCACGGTAAAGTTTATTTTATTACTATTATTTCTATTACTTATGTTTTATGCCTAGCAAAAAATATAATTATCTTTCATTCTTAGTTTTTTACAATATTTTGGAATTATTGGAATGAAAAAAGTGAAAAGTGGTGCCACTAAAAGAAGAGAAAAAGCTGCAGCCATGGAGAAAATCATGAAATACCCCAAACTAACACATTTTTTAAAACCAGCAGTTCCGGCTAGCAGTGTTTTGATATCAACAAATAATTTTGATTGTGATTATTTGGGTACTATAGTACCCTAGTACTAGACTAGAGTCAGATGGGTTAATCTATGACTCAAATGCAAAGTCAAATGTAAGTCATGGTTTAATCTGTGAATCAAATGCCACAACAAATCCACTAATATTTCTCAGTGATGATCCTTCTGATTGGCCTGATAATGTTTCTGACGCTCAGAAGTGTGATGTTGTTAAACGAGGTTTAAAAAAGATTGAAATCGACTTTCCAAAAAATTCAGAAAGAAGACGATTTTCCATGAGTTATTATAACCGCAAAATGAAAAATGGAGAAATCTTTGAAAGATCATGGCTTATATATTCTTTAAATAGTGATAAAGTGTTTTGTTTCTGTTGCAAACTTTTTGGGATAACTTCTTCACCCTTTCGAAAAGGAATAAACACGTGGGAAGGCTTATCAAAAAAACTTAAAGAACACGAAACATGCAGTGCACATTTAAAATGCTTTGAACATTGGATGACATTACGAAAAGGTAACTGATATTTCATTTAACTTGTTTTGTTACTTTTTTTATTGCTAAAATATTAATTTTTTTTCAATTTTGACAATGCAGGCATAGCAAATCAAGCTACCATAGACGAGCAACAACAAAAGTTGCTTCATAAAGAGCGGGTATTTTGGAGATCTGTGTTGGAAAGGATACTGGACATTACGTTATTTCTTTCATCAAGAAATCTTGCATTCCGTGGATCAGACACGGCAATTGGTTCAAAGAGCAATGGAAATTTTCTTGGGGTGTTTGAATTACTGGCTAAGTACGATGCCGTCTTTAAGGAGCTTCTGTTAAGAATTCAGGACAAAAAAACAAACGCTCACTATTTGAGCAATGACACACAGAACGAGTTGATTAGATGTTTAGCGCAGGAGATTGAATCAGAAAACCTTTCTATGGTAAAAAAAGCAAAATACTATTCGGTTATTTTAGATTGCACGCCAGACGTTTCGCACAAAGAACAAATGAGCATAATTTTAAGATCAGTGACATGTACTTCTAGAGTTGGTATTAACATTTCCGAAAATTTCTTTGGATATCTCACAGTAAATGATACCACTGGAAAAGGGCTTTTTGGATGCCTTTTTAAATCAGGCAAAAAAATGGGATCTAAATATTCTTGATTGTCGAGGCCAATCTTATGATAATGGTGCTAACATGAAAGGAAAACTTAAAGGTGTTCAAGCCAGGCTTCTAGAAATGAACCCAAAGGCTATATATGTTCCATGTGCAAATCATTCACTGAATCTTGTTATTGTTGATGGTGCACTGTCATCTATCAGTGCAATATCTTTTTTTGGAGTTCTTACAAGATTGTATACCCTCTTTTCATCGTCTCCTCCTCGATGGGAAATTTTAAAATCGTGTGTGGAAATTTCTGTCAAACCACAATCAGATACAAGATGGGAAAGTAAAATAAACTGTGTTAAACCACTTCGCTATTATCTGAAAGAAATTTTAGAGGCACTCGACAGATTGGAAAAACATGCCTTTGAAAAGAAAGATGGGGCAACAGCCACAGAAGTACGATCTCTGATTGAATATATTAGGACATGGCCTTTCTTATTATCAATCATTATTTGGTATGACGTTTTATTTCAAATCAACAAATCAAGTAAGCTTCTTCAGTCTTCTACAACCTCTCTTGACATATTGGCTAGTGAAATAAAAGCAACAAATACATTTCTTCATGAGTATCGTGAGACTGGATTTACTGACGCACATATTAAAGCACAAGAAATTGCAGAGGAATTGGGCATTGAAAAGATTTTTCCAACAGTGCGCTTACGAAAAAAAAAAAAAATGTATTCATACGAGTGTGCTGATGAAACTCGGCAACCTGAGCATCAGTATAAAGCAGATTTCTTTTTGCCACTCATTGACATGTCAATTGCATCAGTAAAGGAGCGTTTTGAACAGGTCAGTATCTTCACAAATCTTTTTGACTTTCTTTACCGGTCTGAGAGTCTTATCAAAGCCTGTAATGAAAATTCTCTTACTGTATTTTGCACAAATTTGCAAACGAAGCTCGGGGATATAGATTCTGAGGATTTGGAAATGGAGTTGAAACGATTTGTCATAGTTGTACAAGAGGACAAAAATACAAACCTGAAATCTGCATATGACTTCCTTAACTACGTCTACAAAGAAGAGCTGCAGGAAACTTATCCTAATCTAGTTATTGCGTTACGCATCATTCTTACTTCTCCAGTAACTGTTGCAAGTGCAGAACGTAGCTTTAGCAAGTTAAAATTAATTAAAACATTTCATAGGTCAGTATAAATACTCTTACTTCCTTATACCTAAACACATATAACTATATTTCTTTGTATCTTTATGTAGGTCAACAATGGTCGATGAACGTTTGTCTTCCCTAGCAATGCTGTCAATCGAGAACGAGGTAGCAAGGAAATTAAGTTATGAAGGCTTAATAAATAAGTTTGCAAGAATGAAAACACGACGCAAACCTTTTTTTTGACCTGTGAATGCCTAATACATTCACAGTAGTCAAAGAAACTTTTTGTTTTAAACTCTTAATAAATATAACAATTATAAAATATACTTAATTAAATTAAAGGGTTAATTTTATTGTTTTTTTTCTCGTGAACGACTACTTAAAAATATGTTCGGTGCATTATAAAAGATACGCCTTGCGCTTTTTGAAAAAAAAAAAAATGTCAATTTAAACGCATTTAAAAAAACTTTGGGGCCCTAATGGAATGTTTGGGGGGGGGGCCCTAAAGTCACTAGCCACGGCACTGAATGGATTGTTGTTATGATTTAAACTACATTTAAGTTTTAGCAATCGCTGCAATCAACTTTTCCGCGCAGTTTAGAAATATGAACTAAGAAAAATAATAGACAATACAAAACAAATTTTCAACAATACTAAAGATAAAATAAAAAAATAAATAATAAAAAATTATAATAGCAATAGCAGTAATAACAGCGAAATAATTAAATTTCAAATTAATCATTAGAATAACTAGTTTAAAATTTATTTACTTAAAATTATTTATTAAAATATAAATAAATTTCAAAGTATACTTTCCTAAACATTCTGGAAGTTTTCAAATCTCTACAGATGAGAGCACAAAAAACCTAAAGATACGCTGCTTAATTGCAGGAAATATTGCACAGAAATATTTTAAGTATTTTTATAAATAAAGTAAAATAATAATAAATATAAATGTTTAAATCGCATTACTTGCATTATTAATTAATTCACGATAAAATATTATATTATTCAAATTAAAAAACACGTTTTTAAAATTTTTTGGGGCCTCTAATTATATGGGATGGCCAAGTCGGGCCTATTGTGTAATCCAGCACTGAACTGCTTATACCAATGAGGTTTATACACTTTCTTACTAGCCTGTGCATATTTCGTTGAAACATTATAGTCATGATTCAAAACATGGAAATAAAAAAAAAACATTGAACTTTGACCTTATGAGATTGGCTTTGAGATATATCATTAGGAAAATCTCAGCTTGAGTATTCTAGTGCAATTCTTATATCTGCATCAACATTAAAGTTAAAAAAACTAGACATAGATTACAGTTATAGTAAACTAAAAGTTACAGTTATAGTAAACTTTACATATAGTAAACATACATTGCAGTTAAAGAAACTAGACAAAAAATTGCTTAACGAATTATTTGCAAATCGAGATGCCTATTCAGCCCCTCTTCTTTCTAAATTAAAACTGGACTCGCTAAAAGATAGAAAAAAAAAGCATGTAGCTGAACTTGTTTGTTCTATTATAACTAGACATCCACCGACCTATTTGAAGATCGTACCGAGGGAAAACTCATAAAGAAATCCACTCTCGCAATCTGAACTAATCGGTCAGAGACAATTTATTGTAACTGGCCATCAGATATTGAATAATAGTTGAGCAAACTGAGAGAAAAATACAAAAAAACTCTTAACTTAACGTCACTGTATCCTGCTATTATTGAGTATAAAAAAGAAAATACAATAATAATAATAATAATAATAATAATAATAATAATAATAATAATAATAATAGTAATAATAATAGCAAAATGTCAAAACTTTAGTTAAAACCTTCACAAGTTTTACTACAAGTTGTCTTTTTTAGTTTGATGATGTAATTTTTTTTTTTAAATAATACATGTACATGAAAATACATCTACATGTACATATAAAAATACATATTCGTGTAATTGGGATCATAATAATATTATGATAAAGGATTACCGTTCAATTTTAAAGAATGACTGTCTAAACAAAAATCTTTTTTGTCAACGCTTGTAATGTGAGCGACCCCTATTTCT